CTGAACCTGTACATGTTCTTGCTTTCAGATGCTCTTCCTCCTTGACTATATTTACTTTTGAAACACCTTCCCTTTTTTTAAATTTGCTGTTTTCATCATGTTGTCTGTTGTTTTTATTCTCTTGACTCCTGTCAATTTTTTTATTGCCACATCCCTACATATATCACTGTGGCATCCTATTCATAAGCCACTGGTGCTGCTCCTTGTCTCTCTTTGTGACACATACAGTCCTCTAACTCTGGAACAGTAAAGTACAAGGTAGGTAGGCTGATTTTTGTCTTGGTTCTGAGCTTCTTACTTTTGATGGAGTTTAAGAACAGCATTGCTGTTTCTTGGTCCATGTTGTCCGACTGGGAAACTGAGTACAGGCATGATCCTAAATGGACTCATTCTGCAGTGGGAAACACTGATTTCTCTCTTGTCTCACCCCTGCAGGGACTGCATCATGCTCTGCTTCCTGAACAGTGCCACCAGCTTCGTTGCTGGTTTTGCCATTTTTTCTGTGCTGGGCTTCATGGCTCGAGAGCAGGGTGTACCCATTGCAGAAGTGGCTGAATCAGGTAGGTTTTTCCAGAAGATTTCAAAGCCAAAGGAAAACAGAAAGCCTGAAGGCGACTTTCCTGAAGTGAAGCCCTCTGTTGCTATGGGTGTCTGCAGTGAGGTCTGTAGGACCAGTGCTCCCCAACACAGCTTGTAGCCCTGTGTGGGCACGGAGCTGTGGGGATATGAGCTTTGAAGCAGTATGTGAGCTCACCCTGTGCTGCAGGGTAGTGGTGGCAGATGGTGGTGTGGGGGGCACATGTGGTCATCTTGTGGTCTCTTGGCAGGTCCTGGCCTGGCTTTCATAGCATATCCAACAGCAGTAACAATGATGCCTGTGTCTCAGCTCTGGTCCTGCCTCTTCTTCCTCATGTTGATCTTCTTGGGACTGGACAGCCAGGTACAGCAAGCGTCCCCATCTCATCTAACACCCCAGTGTCTGTCACCACCCCAAACACTCCCCAAGGCCAGAGGAAAGGATGAAGTGGTCATTTGCTTTGCTGGTACCTCAAATACTTTTTCCATGTTGTCTGCAGCACTTCCAAGCTGTGGGAGCTCAGATTCAGGGCTGAAGGGATGCCAGTGGTTATGTGTGCTGGCATCTCTATTGGGCATCCTTCTCCCTGTGTGTATGTGAGGGTGTCCCAGCTACATCCCCTCCCACCTCTGTGCCACCTCTGAAACACTCTGGAGCAAGGCCTGGCACTGAGTGGGGCAGGCTGGGAAGGGGAATTGGACTGTTTTCTCCCAGTTGCATCTCACCAGAGCAATCCCTGTGTGCTCCCCTTGCTGGTGCTCCCATCTCTCAGTCTCCCATACCCCTGTTTTGCCAGGTGCAAAACCCAGCAGAGCAGTGCAGTGTGCACCCCTGGCATGCTGGAAGGAAGGGAGCAGGCGATGTCTGGCATGCCTGCCAGGCTGCATCCTCTGCTTAGGCTCTGCTTTGCAACACCTAAGCCCCTGCAACTGGAGAATACGGTCTCTTTCCTCTGTTTTTCTGGGTCAAGTTCCCCTCCTGCCTCATCTTGCTTCTGGCTCTGCTTCATGCTGGCTGGGCTGATGTTCTCTTATGCACTCTGTGGGTGACGTGAGCTGTGGGACCAAGATCCATGTGGTGATGAGAAGGCATCCTGCCCCATGGTCAGTCCCCAGAGTCAACAATTCACTTGTGAGACACCTGGCCACCTGCTCTTCTGGGTTGTCCCAGGCTGTCATGGGTACAGCCTGCCCCTTGCCTCCCCATCCCTTGGTTGTTCCTGCTGTGCAGCAGCATGGGTTTGAGGCAATTCCTTGTACATCTCACAGTTCATCCCCCAAACATGGGGCTGTATTTTTAACCCCTTTGGTCTAGATCTCCAGAGGGGACCTCACTGATTGAGCAGAGTTTGGGTACTTAGCAGCTGCAGATGGCCCTTGATGGAAGCAAGACAGGCAAAAAGAGAAAAAAAAAAAAATTAAAGATTTGGGTGGCTGGGGGCAAAAAGGACATTTTCCAACCTGTTGTCTTCCGCAGTTTGTGTGTGTGGAAAGCATGGTGACTGCTCTAGTGGACATGTTCCCAGGAGTGTTTCGGAGGAAGGGGCGTCGTGAGCTGCTGATCCTGGCCATTGCAGTCATATGCTACCTGCTGGGCTTACTGCTGGTCACAGAGGTAAGAAAGGAGTGGCTGGGGTATATGGCCGAGCACCAGAAACCCTGCTAGACTGCTCTGGAGCAGTAGGTAGAGACAGCAAGCTCGTATTTGATGCTGTTAATTGTCCTTAATTTCTAATGCATTAGCTGTGTCTCTATCAGCCAAGGCTGCTTCCATCGTGCGGTGCTAGTATAGTCACTGCACAACTGAACCTTCCAGAGAGACAGTCCTGCAGCCCAGAGAGGCTGCCTGACATACAGCTTTGTGCAAATGCCAGGCCTGGTGACTAAAACAAGCTGAGCTGCACAAGCAGAAGCTCTCCTAAGGGCAGTGATTGTTTGCTGGCTGATTTCCACGGGAAGCAAAGCAGCAGGAAGGGAGGCTGGGGGTAATGGCTGTACCATAACCCTGCCTGAGCCAGTAGGAAGCCTCTGGTCCCTGGGACTAGAAGGAGCAGAGCTGTGATAGTCTGGTGCTCTGTGCATGGTGTTTGCCCTGCTCTGCAGCTGAGAGCCAAGCACATCTTGCACAGTGCTGTGCTGCTCTGTTCGTGCAAAATGAGTACTCGGGCCAGGGTTTTGGCTGATGGCAAGTATGCAGAGTTCAGCTCGAAGACAGAGGCAGCAGGGAAGGCACATGCCTCTGCCATTGCAGGACTTGGACCTTGAGCAATATGTAAAGGTTGATGCAGCTAAAATGAGGTATCTGAAAATCCTGATCCTCAGGATCCACATTTATTGGATGCAAAGTTCTGTGCTGCTACAAGGTGTTTTGGAATTATGCTGGAAGCTTGCTTTAAACAAGGAAACAAACTGGCTCCCACTCCTATGGACAAAGAAACAGTATTATAAATTGTGCATGAAATGCTCTCCAGCCAACAGGCCTGACTGTCTTTTTGGGGCAGAGTGGGGATAGTGTCCAGAGAATGCTCTCCTTCTTCCACCTGCTCTAGGTGCAGTGTTTCTGCTGCTATTCTTCAGCCTGCCTCTGTATTTTTTACCTCATTTGAAATAGTCCCATCATAATAACTTTCTCTTGTCTAACTCTTCAACAGGGTGGGATGTACATCTTCCAGCTCTTTGATTACTATGCTGCCAGTGGCACATGCTTACTCTTTCTGGCCATTTTTGAAGTCATCTGTGTAGGGTGGGTATATGGTAAGTGGAGGATGAAAACCTGTGTTGCTCTTCCCCAAGGCAGGGATAGGGGGCTGAGTAGTGAGCTTGAGTAAAAAAGATCCTTAAGAGGAAAATCAATGCTGTAATTACCCTCTTTCTTGTCTGGTTTCCATTCTGTTTCCTTGCAACGTTTCTTAATTGCTCCACATTTAATGTAGGAATGGTTTTTCCCTCTCTGAATGTTCCTCATGTTGAACTACCTTGCTGCTCTTCCCATCTGCCCTTTGAATTAGAAAATCAGCTATAGAAGAGTGACTGCTGCTCTCTGGTCTCTGTTACCGTCTGCTGACATGGTGCCTTTAGTTTGGTCCTGTCCATTGATTTAACACAAAATGCTGGGATGCAGACTTTCTCTCCATTATTTCTGCAGTGATAAATGCTTCCTGTTTGCATGGGCTGTGTTGCCACTCCTGAATGAAACAGGAGGGACTGCTTTGGCTCTCAGTGAGGTCTGTAACTGAACTACTCAGCAGTAGGAGTAAACTGAGCTCCATGAGCTATCGGAAGGAAACCAACTTCTTGTTAGTCTGTGCAGTAAGAAGAGTATCCTGTGATATCCTACAGGGGATCTCTTCCCTGCTGAATGGTGCCTGAACATGCAAGCTGCAGCTCATCTCTCTGAAACTTGTGTCAAGGCTGGTGGTTTTCAGGCAAAGGGTCTAATTGTGTGTGATGTAGAGCAGCTACTCTCTAGCTTCATGGAGCTACAGGAGCTCAGTACCTGTAAGGATCATGCAAAGCTTAGATGTAGTAGATGCCAACTCAGAGCACACCCTCAACACCCAGTCATGCATCTGCTGGCTCCTAGCTACACCAAGCAGCATGGCCATCTAACCTAAGGAAAGCAGTAGGCATGAACATCATGGTGTGTGTCTCTCACTGGCCAAGAGTGGAGGCCCAGGATGGAGTAGAATAGCATTAAAAATAACAATTATACTTTCTGTGACTATTCTTCCAGTTTCTAACAATTTATTATAAAACTATAGAATTATTTGGTTTAGAAGGAACCTTTAAAGGTCATCTAGTCCACTTCCCCTGCCATGGGCAGGGACATTTGTCACTAGATCAGGTTTCTCAAAGCTCCATCCAACTTGACCTTGAACACTTGCAATGATAAAGCATCCACAACTTGTCTGGGCAGTGTGTTTCAATGTCTCAGCACCCTCTTGCTAAAAAAAAATATATTCTTTATATCTAATCTGAATCTACCCTCTTTCAGTTTAAAACTGCTACCCCTCTTCTCTCACTACAAGCCTTATTAAAATTCTCTCTCTTTCTTACAAGCTCCCTTTATCAAAAGGCCACAACAATGTCTCCCTGAGCCTTCTCTTCTTCAGGCTGAACAATCCCAACTCTCTCAGCCTTTCTTCACAGCACAGGTGTTCCAGCAGCTCTCTGATTGTTTTCATGGCCCTTCTCTGGAGACCTACTCAACAGGTCCATGTTTTTCTTGTGCTGGAGGTCCTGGAGCCAGATGCAATACTCAGTTTGTTGCCTAGGGATTTCAAGAGCCAGAAGTGAATTATGTTTATTGTTTCCAATTGACTCAAATAAGCATTTATCACCTACAAAATGCATGGAGCACAAGGTGCTCCATGGCTCGGTCAGGTGTTGTGTGAGGAAACACTTTTCCTTGTTTTGAATCTGCCACCTGCAAATTTCATTTGGCGCCACCTTTGTCTTCTTTTAGAAGTGTCAGTGACCAGTCAGTCCTCAGTGCTCTCATTGGTGCTTGCAGTTGTAGAGGTTGCACTGGCTGTAGTGCAGTTGCTGATGAAGGCAGTATGCTTTCTGTACAGAAGGAATCAATTGCTAGTCTGTATAGACTTCTCTATTGCTGAAGTGGTAGCAGGTCCAGATGCTTGAAATTAACCTCTGGGGAATGCAAGAAAAGCAGATCTGTAGATTTATTCTAGAGAGATGTCCTGCAAGGGCAGCTCACCTGAGAGCTTGTAACACCAGACCCTGGCCAGATTTAATTTAGAGTTGCCTTCTACCCAGTCCCTGTGGGATTTACAGAGGGATGGAGATTCCTGTCTATCTGTGACAGGGCTTCATCATCACCATGCTCGGGTACATTAAACTGATGTATAGACCCCCCCTTCCATTTTTACTCTCACACAGACCACACGCATTTTCCAATGATCCGTGGAGTGAAGCAATGACAGACAATGAGTACCAGGAAAAGTGATGCTGCCTCAGCAGCCTGGAAAGGGGATGAAGCAGATGGGGATTGATAAATGGCCCTTTCCCTCACCACCATGGGTTCCTTTGCCCCACCCCACTCAGTGGGATTTTACCCTCTCCATTGGGCTGATTCTGATTTGAATTGTAGGCAGAGGGCCAAGGCGAGGTACCTTAGTGTTAAAAAAAAAGTGCCTGGTGCTAATTAATGTGGGTTTTTTTCCCCCTGGCCTCAGAATTGGCAGGGCTGAGCCTCTTGCTTACACTGTGAAGAATTACAGCATTTTTGCTAACACAAATATGCATTCTGAGTTTCCCCTCTCTCAGCACATATGCCAAACACCCACCACTTGGCAGCTTCCCTCTGCTGCCAGGCAGCTATTCTTGCAAAGATCTGAGGATTTCCTTGCCTACTGCTCTCTGCCTCTGAAAGGATCATGCAGCAGCAGACCTGCTGATCATGGTCTCTAGAGGGGAGTACTGGAGGGTCTTGGTGGGTTCCCCCCCTTCTCTCCCTTCTGCTATGGGACAGGCAGCCCTCATTAAGCTTTGCATTGATTTTGAGCCCTGGGATTCACAGCACAACGCTGCTGAAACATGCTGCAGGGAAGATATTTTCCAGTCAGTCACAGCATGCACATTAGGATTAGCTATTCCAGGAGAAAGAGAGTGTCCCCACTGCTGCAGGAGAGCAGGGGCTGAAACCATCAAGACTGTTGGCAGAGCTAAAGCAAACTGATGCCAGCAGGTACTTGTGGGTGGCCCTAGGGTGGACCCGTGTTGTGCTGGCATAAATCTTCCTCTGACTCTCTTGCTCATATGCAGTGTGGCTACCAGAAGCAGCAGCCTCCTTCTGCCTGGATCCTGCCTGTTAGTTTTGCTCTGGCTGTGCATGCTTTACCCTCTCAGATTCACCAGCTACAGCCAATCTTACATGCTTATTTATGGGCCATAAGGGGCTGGCTCTGTGCACCTCATATCCCAAGGGTTTGCAGTCGTTGCAGTGCCACAGTGTCTCTGCTGCTGGCATTTTGCACAGGTTTGGTGCAGATGTCGATGCTGCAGGTTTGAGACAGAGAGGGAGCAGATATTGGTACTGTGGCATAGAGCCAGGGTCATCACCTATTAAAGTCCTGTGGATGAAATTTGATGCGTAAGAGTGCAAGTAAGTGCAGCTTGTGAGAAAAGATTTAAAAGGGAGGGACTTTTCACAGGTTCCAAACCAGCTGATCTGAGAACTCACCATTTCTGGATGTTATAAAAATAAAATAAAATCTTTGTCCCTTTCCATTTGGATATCCCTTGCAGTTGCTATAAGCTACATAAAATGAGGAAGTCTTCGTAAGGGCAAGACATAAGGATGTGAAAAATCTCTGTCTGGGTTCATGTGAAATTTATTCCCATGAATTTATGTAGCAAAATGAAAAGATTTGTCAGAAAAGCATGCAACAGCTTTGAAGGTATATGGGATTGGTCAGCACAGGAGAAGTGGTGCCAGCATGCACAGGTAACTACCCTGTGCCTGCATACCATTCTTCCTTGTCTTGGGGTACTGGGGATAACAGCTAACATCTTTGTTCATTCCAACAAAAAACCTCTTTGGGGAAATCTTCATGGTTTTCTCTGCAGGAGCTTTATCTAATCCTTCTAATGGTGCTGGGGAGAGGTACTGCACTTGTCTTCCAGCTTCTAATTTGCTTTAAGAGCCAATGTTGAGTAATTGAACTGATGACTTCTTAAGCTTGATTACTTTTTCATCTGCCTTTGATACACAGAACGTGTAAAACCTCCTGCTCATGTACTTTCTGAGGACATTCATGTCAGTCCCCATTGTGTTTCATCACATCATCTACTGACTGCCACAGTGGCTTTGGAAATGCAGGACCTGATGGTTGTACTACAGAGAATATGGATAAGGACAGGTGGAGGCACACTGTAACTAACAAGATAGGTTTTGGGCTGTTTTCTTGTTGGAGAATGGATGTCTGTTGTGTCTTTCCTTTTGTTTGGCATCCTTGTATTTCTTTAATTGCTCTGCCTCTTCCACTAGATCTTAGACCCAAATTTGCAGTGAAACTTTGGCTTCTACAAAGTTGCATTACAAATGAATTTGTCTACATCTGATATCACAGTGTGTTTCTGTGGAAACACTGTATGGTATAAGATCTTGTGCTGTGCTTATATTGCAGAATGTAAGTTGCATCATTTTTATCTCACTCTCCCCCCATTTTTATTTTTTTTACCCTGTAGAAGATTTTTGCTTTTTGGCAACATATATTTTTTATGCTACCTCCCTTTCATCCCCTCTATATTTTCAGAAATGCTATCTGAAGCCTTGTGATATTTACAGCTTGGAAGTTTTTGGGTTCTGTTCTCTGGTGTAGGCTGGACTCCCACACAAGGCTGCGTGTCCCTTGATATGCCACAGCTTGTTGTCTTTGCTTGAGGCTACTTGTTAACTTGCCAGCTTGAGATGGGAAATATGAGGTGTTCAAAGAACCTGCCCTCCCCAGCCTAAATACTTCAAAAGCTGTGTTTAAAAGAGCTTTCCTGCAAACATTAGTCATGGGATACAGAAAATAATGCAAAAAAAAATGAAGGAAAAAAAAAAAAAGAGAGAAGCACATGTAATGTGCTTTTGTAGAATTCATATATTTAAAGGAAATAAAATACAGCAATTTAATTCTAAGACATTGAAAAACCACAAATCAAAAGAAAACTCTGCAAACCCCAAATACTTCCAAGTGTGGCCAGTCCTCTGGGCAGATATTTTGCCCAGCCCAACCTTCTGGTGTTAAGATGCAAAGAAACAAGGTTTCATCATGCTTGTGGGTGGGCAATGTGGCATGACCTTGAGTTCACAGGGGGATGAACACCCCTAAATGCAGAGCCCTTTCTTTATCAACTAAGCACTGTGATTACTTGGTAAGCCTTTTTATGGAGACAGCTCAGCTCCATTTTTTTTGCCTAATATTGTTATTCTATTTTACCTGAGGCAAGTCTGATATATTATATCTGGTTAACTCTAGTTAGGAAGAAGTTAGGGCATCTTTTTAATGACTTTTTGATTCTCCTTCATTTCACATCTTCTTTTTGCCAACATTAGGCTCTTGTTCCTTGTGCTACAATGTCTGCTGAAGTCCATCTGCATTGTGCCACCTCTTCTACATAGCATTGCATACATTTCCTCATTGTGCTTTGGGTTTGGGAGAATAAATATATAGGGTCTGGCCAGTGGCAGAACTTTTAGATGCTCTTCAGAGGTATATTGCACTCTGGTGCACCATGAGATTCAGATGGATCCCGCACACAGTGAGCAACATAACGTAGTAAGTGAAACAAATGAGAGAAGATCAGGCACCCACAGGACATCTCCCATGCAGAACTTTTAGATGCTCTTCAGAGGTATATAGCACTCTGGTGCACCATGAGATTCAGGTGGATCCCGCACACAGTGAGCAACATAACCTAGTAAGTGAAACAAATGAGAGAAGAAGATCAGGCACCCACAGGACATCTCCCACTGGACAGTATGACAGCACTTGCACATGGAAGATTTGGTTTCCAGCAGGGTTTAGATTGCCAGGTCTCCTGGGTTTATGCAAAAAATAAAGTATTCTGTGGAAAGCAGTCTCTTGATGGCATGGGAAATGCCCTGCTCAGTGGGGATTCTTGACACGACTTCCCCGGTGTGCCAGTCTGGTTAATAGAGGGTTCTGTTTGGTGCTCCCCACTATGTTCCTTTTGGCACTCTGGACTCACAGAATCCCATGTGCTCAACCTGCAGGAGCTTTCCCTTGCTGACCCATGAACCAGCTCCTTGCCTTGTGCCTCTCCTTTCTAGTGTCTAGTGGCACATGGGTTGCATCCTCTTACAGCTGCTGCTGTCTGAAGGACAGGGCTGAAGTTAAAAGGCTCTGTCTGTATTTAGCCACAGATGGGCCTTTTCAATGCCATAAAAACCTGCTGCAATATCATTAGGATGGCCATGTTTTTGCCAGGAGTAAACAATGAGGATAAAGAAAGTTGGGATCTGATATGAATAGTGGTTGAAGGAAACAGCAATGATCTGAGCTCTAACTTTGTCTCTATGCTGGCTGGTGGCCAAGGTGCCAACCGATTCTATGACAACATTGAGGACATGATTGGTTTCCGGCCGTGGCCCTTGATCAAGATATGCTGGCTGGTGTTCACCCCAGGTCTGTGCTTGGTAAGTTAAATTACAATAACATATTATTCTGGGTCCCTGGGTTCTCAGTAGAAAAGGTTGATTTGTCTCCAAGGTACTGCTGTAGTTTTTTCGAACTGCTACGGAGAAGCAGAAGCTTGTCCATAGCTGAGACAGCAGTTTATTTCCTTTGTAAAGCCTTATCTTTTGCCTGGAAAACTAGTTGAGCCAGATGAGCCAGTTGTTTATTGTGAAAGCAAAGGGAATTGTATCCTCCGACTCTGGAGAGGTTTGGTCAAATTACTTTGGAATAGAAGAGCAATGAGAATTACCCTGTTCTGAAATACTGGCTTCAGCCTGTGTTCCTGTGACCTCCCATGATTCAGAAATACCTTTCCATGACCATTTGCTTTCTATGTTATTAAATCTCTTTTAAAACTTGAGTGACAATTGTGTTTAAAGAAAATGCACCCTAAGTCAGGCAAGTTCTAGCCAGTCTTGCTCCACTGATTTTAACATGAATTCTGAACTAAATTCTGTTCCCGCATCTAATGTTGAGAGTTGTTTTCTTTTACATCAGTGGCAACACAGCGGGGATCTATAGCTACAGCTTGCAAAACATTTCCAGTCCTTTGTCTTTGAGCTCCAGCAGAAGTGGAATATCAGGGAAATTTTCAAAGCAAGACTGATCTAGCTCAAGTCATCTGAGAGCTCTGTAGCTAGAAAGTCCCAAGAGGGGTAGATCTGTTCCCGTGTGGTACTTCTGGAGGACTTCTTCCTGGGACAACAACAATTCCTGGCTTTGATATGAATAAATTGCTGTCTCAATGTTGCTGGACCCTCAAAGCTGCTGCCAACTTTGCTAACTTGAGGCTCAACCCTTAAGAAGATTGAATGCTTTACACTGCAGGGAAGCCTAGTCCTGGCTCTGAGATAGCTCCTTGCGTGGCCAGCGTGCACCAGACTCTGCCTTGCTGTAGCTAGCAAGGTCTATGCTGGCTCATGGAAGACATCACACTTGCTGCTACCCAGATGGTGCTTGCAGGATGGCCTGGATGCCCAGCTCTTCTGCACCCTTTCCTCTGGCTATGTTTGTGTTTTCTGCTCTTCAGGCCGTCTTCCTGTTTTCCCTGATCAAGTACACACCCTTGAAATACAACAATTCCTATGTGTACCCTGCCTGGGGCTACGTGCTGGGCTGGCTGATGGCACTCTCCTCCATGGTCTGCATTCCTCTCTACGCCATCTTCATCTTCCTGAAAACCAAAGGACCCCTGAAGCAGGTACTGAGATTGTTGTCACTGTGTGAGTTGCTACTTCTTTTCCCAGAAGGCTTGTGGGAAGGGCCCTAGGGAAGATGCACGTGGCACGTTTCTCCTCTGAGAAGTCAAGGAGGGTGAGACTTTGGACTGAAATGTTGCTGTAAGATGTGTTAATGGTTATTTTACAGCATATCCAAGGAACTGATTTGCCCAATTTCAGATTGAGGGTTTTTCTATTTGCCCTGGTTTAGATGATACTAGTTGTAATTTCCGGGGACTTCACAGTTATATCAGTATGAAGAGACTTCCAAGGATGTGGTTAAGGCATGGAGGAAGGAATCAGCTGCTAAGCCTGACTGATTCAGGGGAGAATCAATCCAACCACACAATACCTCCTGGAATAGTTGCTCCTGTTTTGAAAACAGTTTTTCTCAAAATATACCTGTTCCCTTTCTCCAGTCACACCCCAGAAATGTAGTGAATTAATTTCTTGACACAGATGCTTCCAGGAACAGTGCCTCTCAACTGAATATTGCAAACCATTCACTGAAAGCAAGTTTATAACTGGTAATTATGATTAGCCACTGTGACAAACTGGTTCCTCTTGTTACACTCGGCTGACCAAGAAACACAAATGTTGTTTCCTAATGTGTCAGATTAAGGCAACTTTAGCTCCAAAGACTGAAAACTCACAATGAACTGCTCACAGAGCAGCTGCAGGCCAAGGGTGATTTCAGAAATTGTAGGGCAGATACTTCTGAATAAATGAGCCAGATGTGGGATCCTGGCAGGTGCTTCACAAGGAGTGGAAGCACTGAAATTAAGCCAACGAGTCATGGATGAGTTGCCTGCTCTGCTTGTGATGTGCTCTGCAAAGGATGAGCATGCACTGGCCTGAACAGCTT